AAGTCCAATCAGCTATACAAAAAGCTATACCTGCTAATTGGTTTAGTAAATAAGAGCAACCAAAAAATCCATCAATTATGGTCTGCCTAAATGTGCAAAGCACTTAGGGGTTTATAACTACTCATTTAATCCTCAGAATCCTATGAGGTAGGTGTCATTGTCCCCTTTCACAGATGCCAAGAGTAACTTGCCAAAGGTCACAGCTGCGTCTGGTACATGCTCCTTCCTCTGTACAGCACTATCTCCTAAAGATCAATTATGATCCTCAATGCTTACTCAAGGAAAAGCTGGAATAGACAATTTTTCAAAGAACCATACAAAGTCATTACAGTGAGGTTTGAGAATTGGCCTTAATTTATCTAGCTTTAAAAATCAAAATCAAATTAAGCAGTTAAAAACAGCATATGCCAAAAGCTCACCAGACTGTCAAACAAGCTTTACGGAAAGGTTTGCAGGCACACGGTACCAATGGCCAGGGCTCACACCTACTTTATTGTTGCCTCCAATCTCCGTCCTGGTCAAGGCCATTCAGAAATAACTTTCATTGTTGGGTTTCATAGGGAAAACAATGAAATCAACTAACCAGTACAGGAAAAAACTTACATAACAGAGGTTTGGCCAGATTTAAAGAAGTCATCTCACTAACCTACGGCTTGCTGGGAATGACTTGTTCTCGACGCCACCAATCAATTCCATCTCATTTTAAGTATTAGAAACATGTAACTGTGCCTATAGCAGAAGATCTTTTAGCAGAGAAAGCAGTAAGACAACCGGCTTTTAGCATACACATCACAAAATGGGAAGTACTTTAGTCTATTTTTTGCTCCCTTAGAAAAATTCCCTCCAAATCCAGCTCTGACTGTTAGTTTCTCCACCATGACGTGTAGGTGACTACTAGGATCATATTCGTATAGAGACCAAGATGGTTCTAAAGGTTAACAGTTGCCATTATACAACTAATTTCTTGCCCCTTAGCTACGGTGAACTGCCACCTCCCCCTAGAAAAACGTATGAATGCAGGAACTTAAAGTTCTGTCCAAGTAAATTTTAGTTCATTCTCTAAAGGTACCCTCATTTAAAGGAAAATTGCTTAGTTTGATGGTACTGAAAGAGCATGGAGCATAACAGGACGTTATAATTTAGAATTTTCTCTCTACTTACGTAGATATATTCTCTCATCTCCTCCTCCCCAACAAAATATGGAAAATTTAAAAATCTACAGAAAAAACAGTATCGTAATAATTAATGATAGTAGTCTTGACCAAATTCTATTAGATGAAGAATTTAGAATTGGATAAATCAGTGTGCCACAAAGTAACTGATGAACTTTCTCCCTAGTATGAAGAAAATACTAGAAAATCTGGGTTCTTCACAAGCTTGCTTCCTGACGTGAACCAGCAGTATCATCCCTAAAGGCCAGAATGAATATATTCCCCTCCATAAATGTCACTATATCCATTTTCAAAAATAGCTAAAATTCCTGTTCAAATACATTTACTAAGATACATGCAAAGAAAAATGACGGACTAAATGCGCTCACAAGAAAGACAGCCTTGTATTGTTCCACCAGGAGTAGAAATCATTAGCGCCAGACTGCCTAGGTCGGATTCCTGGCTCTAGCACTTATCTTGTGCCGTGTGAGTGTGTGAGTGTGTATGTGTGTGTGTGTGTGTGTGTGTGTGTGTGTGTATGCCCCTAGGATAATCAGTTAACTTCTCTGTGCCTCAGTTTCCTCATCTGTAAAACAGGGCTAACAGCACTTACCTAGCATTGGTTTTCATGCAGGTTTAGTTAATACGTGTAAAGTGCTGAGAACAAAGCTTAGCACATAATAGGCAATGTAAGTGGGAGCTATTATTATTATAGACTAATTGCTTGATGCTACCTCATCAGTTGGTGAACAAACCACAAATGGATGGACTTTCTCTGTGTCTATGCTACAGAGCATATATGCATGTCTAACCCATATATGTGCACATTCATGAATATGATCAAATAACATGTATTACACGCCTACTATATCCCAGATTTTAATTTTAATTATTGAGTTTGTCCCAATAACACATCAAAGACTATTACCATTTGCATTCTACAGATGAGAAATTGTACTCAGAAAGACTGGAGATGATACACACAAAATAAAATTCTATCATGGGGGCTGGCCCCATGGCCGAGTAGTTAAGTTCACGTGCTCCGCTTCGGCAGCCCAGGGTTTCGCAGGTTCGGATCATAGGCGTGGACATGGCATGGCTCATTAGGCCATGCTGAGGCAGCGTCCCACATGCCACAACTAGAACGACCCACAACTAAAATATACAACTATGTACTGGGGGGATTTGGAGAGAAAAAGCAGAAAAAAAAAAACAAGATTGGCAACGGTTGTTAGATCAGGTGCCAATCTTCAAAAAAAAAATTGTAATATTATTTTTTGAAAGCAACATGTATACAAAGTAGGGTTGGGTCTCATCAAAATGCAACTAGAGAACAAAAGAAAGTCATTAATAGTGAACTCTGTGATCAAAAAACAAAACCAAAAGCTTAAATTTAACAACTGACAGTTTGTAAAAAGGCCTCATGACAATTGTGGAGAGAGAAACCCAGAACCAGAGATTAAGCAGCATGCTGAAGACCACACAGCTAGAAAATGCTGCAGGTAAGACCTGAATCAAATTTATCTGACTCCAGGCCCAGTGCTCTTTCTGCTTCTATATCCACAGCCAAAAGGGCAAAATGCACTTTTTGCAGTGGCCCAAATCTCTGGAGACTCTGCCTCAGGAACTAGCATCATGGGAATTTGCTCAGCCTGGTTTTATGGAGGCTGCCTCCCTGATCCATAGAGCTCCAATTCTAAAATGGCTTCAACGTAACACAAGCACTGCATGATGGGAAACGCACAGAAGATTATAGGGTAGGAGCCATACTCCAGAGGCTGACAGTCCATAAATATGTGCTACTGATGAATGAGGATATCCAATCTGAAAACCAGGTGAGTGATCCAGGCCAAATCACCTCACATCTCACAAAGACTTCATCTGTGAGATAGGTGAATGGTTCCTCATCTCATAGACAGGAGAGGCTACGAAAATAATTCAGCAGTTGCTACTGGATTACTAGCCTTCCATTTTGAAAACCGCAGTAAAATTCTAACTTGGGTCCAATAAAATTGACAGTTTTACCCTCAACATCCTGTGTGATGTTAAAGACACAGATCCAAGAAAAATGAGGGCTCAGATAACTAAGATACAGTTCTAAATACAAAATGGGGTGCACTGGAAGCAGTCAAGAAGAAAATCACTAAGAACTAACTAATATCTATACATATCAATTTCTAACTGGAAAATGCAAAAAGCTGAGTAGCCACGTGTCCAGTGCTATAAATTGCATATGTGTGTGGTTTCATGTGAACAAATGAGACGGAGTGAGAAATGCAGACAATTTTCATATTCTTTTAAGTGCTTCATCTTTCTGTTTTGGCTCCTGCGGCCGCCTGATTTTATATGTTCATAACATCATCTTGCCAAATTCCATCTCCCACACAGGGCAAGTAAAATCAGAGCCTGATGCTATCTAGCCTTAGCAAAGAGAAAAGCAGTGAAGTCAAGGACAAGAGACGTGCATTTTTACAAAAGGCTGGCAAACTATCTTATCAATACTGCCGCCTTTGAAAATCCCATTACATGCCAGTTCTCCATTTGCAAAAGACAAAGATGTACTCATCTTCTGAAGAAAAGGGGCCCAGATCACTCCCACCCCCTTCCCCATCACCAGGGAGGCCACTAGGCAAATTTCAGTTCTAAAAATGTACTAACACACTGTATGGGGGAATTTGGGGCGAGAACACAAAAGACTCTGGCTCTCAATGACGGTAAATACCGTGGGAAAATACTCCGATTCTCAGCCTCTGACATTTTTTTCCTGGGGATCCGGCCTGACACAGTAATCGGTTCCAAGAAATCCATTTGCTTGACTCAAACCTCAACCTGTGCTTCTCAGGGGATCTCGGGTCCTGCCAGGCTCCAAAACCAGCGAACGATGATGAAATGGCTTTATTGCAAAGTGGGAAGGGGTTCTCCCAAGGTTAAACCCCTTAGCCATCTCCCGGGGGTCAAGCAGGGGCCCTGGGGCTCGAGAACTCGCCCGCATTCGGTTAAATTTCAATTTCTGGAAACCGGAAAGGCAGGAGCACGGGTCACAGGGCTGAAAGGGTGGGCTCTCGCCGCCCGAGGCGCAGGGAGAGGTCGCGCGGGAATCGAAGCTGGGTCGTGAGGGAGCGGCGGGGGCCCGCGGCCCGATGTCCCTTCCGGCCCAGAGGGGAGCCGCAGGCACCCGCCCGCCGGGCAGGCGCAGGCGGCGAGGGCGGCCCGGGCCTCTCTGAGAGCGAAGGGCCCGGCCCCGGAAACAGGGAGGGGCCGCGGCGAGGCCGGGCCCGCCACAGGCGGCGGCGCGGGGCGGAGGAGGCCGCGAGCCCCTATCCAGGGGCCCACCCGCGGGGTCGCATTCGCCGCCGCCGCCGCCCGGGGGAGCTTGGGGCTGGGGCCCCAGGGGGCCCCGGGAGGCCCCCGCGCCGCACTCACCGTGGGAGGACTGCAAGGGGCGAAGACCTGGCGAGAGGAGCTCCGAGGGCGGTGACCGCTTCCTTCCCAGGCCCACTCCTCAGGCGGCGGCGGCGGCTACAGGGGCGGCGGCAGCAGCAGCTCCCGCGGCTCCGGAATCGGCGGCGGCGGTGGCGGCAGCTCCACTTCCGCTCCGGTCGCTACTTCCGCTCCGGCCCGAGCCCCGCCCCGCCCCTGCGCCGCCTCCTCATTGGGCGAGCGGGGCACGGGGTTGCCCCGGCTGCCCGAGAGGGGCGCTGGCCGAGGGAGGAGGAAGCAGAGCGGGGAGCCGAGCTGCGGCGCGCGGGGGAGGGTGGGGGTCCTGGCTAGGAGGGGGAGCGGGGAGGGGGCGGGCGAGGGGGACGGAAGTGGGGGCGGGGAGCGGAAGGAGGAGGTGGGCGGAGAGGGGGCGGAGCTGGGGGTGTCGAGAAATGGAGTGTGTGGGAACGAAGAGGACCGGGCGAGGTTTGGGGTTGGGCGGGCCTGAGGCTCGGGTGATGCCCGCTCTCGGAACTCGCCAGGGCGAGGCCTGGAGACTCCGAGGTCATCGGTTCCCACCCCATCCAGAGAGCAGTCGTCATGGGGGTCGGCGGTTGAGGTCTGTCCCCTGATGCTGAGTGCTACGGGAATAGTGGACCCGCGGAAGCACCGAAATTGTTCATCCCTGAATTTTCGCTTAGTCCTCCCTTCAGTCCTTCCTCCTTTTGTGGATTGAAAAGGCCACGTGAAGTGCCGGAATCGAACCTGCGCAGGTCTTTCACAAAGCCTGTATCTAGGATCTCTTCATGGAGATCCCCCCTTCCCAGGGCTCTTAGAGGGAGCTTCAGAGAAGGAAACCCTCCACGGCCCCACCCCCGTGACTGCTCTCGCCATGATCGGCGTTCACCTCCTCCCCAGGCCGCTGACTCTTAAACCCGGTTCTGCAAAATGCCTCTCACCTCCACTCCTTTCCTTTCATTCATTCTTTCTACAAATATTTACTGAGCAGGCTTTATGCTTAGTGCTGGAGACACAGCAAGTGCGAGACAGACGGGCTCTGCTGTCTTGGAGTTTACAGTCTGGTAGGAGAACAAAGTAAGTAGGCCTTTGTCATCTCTTCTTTACCCTTAGCTTAATGATGGACTTGTAACTCATCACCCTATTCTCGCCCTGCCCCCATCAACTGCCAAAGTGATCTTTTAAAAATGCCATTCTAATAGTGTCCCTTTCTTGCTTAAATCCTTTGGTGACCTAGAAGACAATTGGTCAGCTCCTTGAGTGTGACAATCAAGGTTTTCCAAAAGCTGCCCTTACCCTTCACCTTTCTTTGCTATTTCTCCCCTGTCATAAAACCCCAGTGCAATTGGATGATTCCTTATCCTCCCAATGTGCCTGCTCCAGTATTTCTAAACTGTTTGTGTTAGTTGCCAACATTTTTTACAGTCTGAGAGATTTCTGTCTGAACAGAAATCTGCGTCTCTGCCTTGTCTGGCAGCACTGTGTCCACACTTGTGTGTGGCAGTGATTGGCCGAAGCCAAGGAGTGGCTGCCCACTCTAGATCAGGCATCAGCTTTTCAAAGTGCCAGGGTCCCGCCTGACCTGAGTTTGCTTTCCTCATTTATGTTATCTGTCATATGGGCATTTGTGCCAGTGACCCCGTACTACAACACCTTTAACTTGAGCAAGATTGAAAGGGAGTGTTGTGTAATATAAACAATATAGATTTGACATCGTCGCTACAGGATTTGAACCCTGGAAAAGTTTCCCAGTGCGGAAGCTTTCCCACGGGGATCCATCTTTGGCAAACCAAAGGTCACTAATCCAGGGACTGCTCAGGTTGAAATGAGCCTTAATGTGGTATGGCTGTGCCTTATGCCCCCATCCGGAACATAGCCTGGTGGGTCAGAGTGCTCATGGTAATTACACCATAAATGACCTCATCAGTGCATTGAGAGATCAGACGTGCCCATTGCCAGGCGTCCCTGGGTGCCTGCTAATGGATTAGCTGCTTTCACCATCTCTGCATTCTAGTCCAGGGGTTGGCAAACCACTGCTATTAACTGACAGAGATACAAAGAGATATTAAAATACAATGTGGCAGCCACAAGAATATGTATGCCCAGGGTATTGTGGGAGCCTGGGAGAAGGGCACCTAACCCGTCTTGGGAGTGTGGTGAGAGAACAGGAAAACCTTTCTGAAAGAGGTGATACTTAGTCTTAGATTCCATAATGAATCTTTTTTTTAATTAATAGACTTTATTTTTTAGAGCAGTTTTAGATTTACAAAAATATTAACCAGATATTGCAGAGAGTTCTCATATACCCAATCTCTCCCCACCCACAGTTTCACCTATTAACATCTTACATTAGTGTAGTACGTGAGTTAGAATTGATGAACCAATATTGATACACTATTAAGGAAAGTCCATCATTGACATTAGGGTTCATTCTTTTTGTTGCACAGTTCTATGGATTTTGACAAATGCATAATGTCAGATATCTACCATTACAGTATCATACAGAACAATTTCACTGTCCTGAAACCCCTGTGCATCAGCTAGTCAGCTCTCACCCCCTCCCCTCACCCCAACCCTTGGCAATCACTTCTCTTTTACACTCCCTTTAGTTTTGTCATTTCCGGATGTCGTATAGTTGGAATGATAGAGTCTGAAGCCTTTACTGACTGGATTCTTTCACTAAGCAATATGATTTAAGGTTCTTCCATGTCTTTTTATGGCTTGATAGCTCATTTCTTTTTATCGCTGAATAATATTCCATTGTATGGCTGTACCACGGTTTGTCCATTTACCTCCTGTTATGGATTGACTTGTGTCCTCCAAAAAGATCTACTGAAGTCCTAAGCCCTCGTGCCTGTGGGTGTGACCTTATTTGGAAAAGAGTCTTTGCAGATGTAATCAAGTTAAGATGAGGTTGTTAGGGTGGCCTGAGTCCAATATGACTGGTGTCCTTAAAAAAGAGGAAAAGGGGTTGGCCCAGTGGTGCAGCGGTTAAGTGTGCACCTTCCACTTCTCAGTGGCTTGGGGTTCTCTGGTTCAGATCCCAGGTGCGGACATGGCACCGCTTGGCATGCTGTGCTGTGGTAGGCGTCCCACATATAAAGTAAAGGAACATGGGCACGGATGTTAGCTCAGGGCCAGTCTTCCTCAGCAAAAAGAGGAAGAGTGGCAGTAGTTAGCTCAGGGCTAATCTTCCTCAAAAAAGAAAAGAGGAAAAGCCAGGTGGAGACACACAGGGGCAAGGCCGTGTGATGACAGGCAGGGATTGGAGTGAGGCAGCTACAAGCCAAGGAGTGCCAGGGATCCATAACCACCACCGGAAACTAGGAAGAGGCAAGAAGGAGTTCTAGCCAGAGTCTCAAAAGGAGCACGGCCCAGCTGACACCTTGATTTCAGACTTCTCGCCTCTAGAACCGGGAGAGTATGGTTGGTTGTGTGAAGCCGGCCAGTTGTGGTACTTTGTTGCAGCAGCCACAGGAAACTGATAGACCTACTGAGGAACATCTCGATTCCGCTTTTGACAATTGTGAGCAAAGCTGTATAAATATCCGTGTGCAGGTTTTTGTGTGGACGTAAGTTTTCAGCTCTTTTGGGTAAATACCTGGGAGCATGATTGCTGGATTGTATGTTAAGACTATTTAGTTTCGTAAGAAATTGCCAAATCGTCTTCCAAAGTGGCTGTGCGATTTTGCGTTTCCACCAGCAACGAAAGAGAGTTCCTGGTGCTCCATATTCACACCAGTGTTTGGTATTGGCAGGTTTGGTTTTTATTTTGCGTTGTTTTTGATTTCAGCCATTCTTACACAGATGTGTAGTGTAAGAACCTGGTTTTCTCTCCAAAAGTTTCTTTTTTGTTCCTCATATTTTGAAATTTCATGATTAATGACGTTGAGACGCCCAGTGGGTTTCCTTTGTCCTCTTCCTTCTTTCTTTCCTTCCTTTCCTCCCTCCCTGTCACCCTCCATCCTTCCTTCCTTGCTTTTCTTTCTTTTCTTCCTCCCTCTCTCCTTTCTTCCTCTCTTTCTTTCACCTTTTATTATGACAATTTTCAAACAAACACAAAAGTAGAAAGAATAGTGCAGTAAACTCCACGCACCCATCACCAAGTTTTATTTTACTATTGTATCTACCCCTCACTCATTTTTTTAGCAGCACTATTTTATAGCAAATCCCAGACATTCTATCATTGTATTCGTAAATACCTTAGTATGTAGCTCTAACAGTAAGAACTTAAAAAAAATAATAACATAACTGCAATTCCATGATCACAGTTAAGGAAATGAGGAATAATTCCTTACTAGCTTACAATACACAGCCCAAGTTTGATTTTCTCCGTCTCAAAAATGACTTTTCACACAGGTTTATTTGAATCAGGATCCAAGCAAGGTCTACACATTGCATTTAGTTGCTAAGTCTCTTTTAACCTGTAACAGTTATTCCTACTCCTCTTTTTTTATATAAATTATAAATTTATATATAGGTAAATTATCCTATAGAGTTTCTCTCGGTCTGAATTTGGCTGTTTGCATCGTTGTGGTGTTTTTAAAGTGTGACACCATCCCTTGAATGTCCTGTAAACTGGTAGTTAGATCTAGAGCCTTGATTAGATTTCAGTTCAACTTTTGGCGAGAATATTGTATAGGTGGCATTGTGTATTTCCTATTGCATCATATCAGGATGTATAACTGATACTAGCTACTTTCTGGGGAGGAGACATGGCATTTGGTGTTCACAGGGGGCTTTCGTTTTTATCTTTAATATTTCAGTTTTCTTATAATGAATATATATTCATGCATCACTGTGTAATACAAATACATGATTTCAAATGAATACAGCAGGGACAATATCTAATTGTTCGTCACTGATCTCTTTCAATCTGAAAACCCATTTCTTTCAGTTCTGGGATATTTTTGTGAATTATTTCTTTGAAGATTTCTTCCTCCGTCTCCCTATTTTCTTTATCTTCACTTTCTAAACTACAATTATTCAGATATTTCAGCTCCTGGAATGATTTTCTAATTTTATTCTTTTCTCTCTCTCTCTCTCTTATTTTTCATCTTTTTGTATTTGGGTCTACTTTCTGAATATTACTTTCCAACCTATTTTTAGTCAGAGTTCTGTACAGGAGACAGAAGCAGAAACCACTCGAGGAATTTTAAGCAGAAAGGGATTTAACACAGGGTGTTAGGTGCTTGCAAACTCATTGGAAGAGCTGGAGTTGCCGAAGGTGGGGGGACTTTTGTTTCAAAGTCACCATGACTGTGTTTGAGAGGTAAGGGTTGCTGCTGCTGCCGGTGTAACTTCTTGACACACGTGCAGCTGGGGACTGGGCACTGGGTCCGGGAGTCTGGCCGCTGACACTTGGCTCAGAAGGAAAGTTCAAAGACAAGAGGACTGTTTGGCTTGAATAGGAAGTGGAAATTGTGGGTAGTCTATGACATGTCAATCTGCATGAAGTCTTTGATATCCATCCAACCAACTCTAGCTTTTCATTTTAGTGAAACAAGGGCTGAAATCTTGACTCAGAGATCTACAGGTGGAATCAGAAACAGAGCTCCCACAGCTCTCACTAACTTTGCCGGACAAGAGTAGACTGTGTCAAGGAGCTCGGAATTCTCCGAACTCACTGAATTCAATTTTGGTCGCATAATCACCTTTGCTCTCATATAAATGAGGTTACTGGAAAGGTGGGCATCACTAATGTAAAAAGAAAAGAAGAGGGATTATGAATCTGTATTTCAATTTCATGACAGCTGAACCAGAAATAAGTTTCCCAGTCTGTCTAGGCTTTGCAGATTTCTACCTGCAGAGAAAGTGGCAAGGCACTGTCACGCTTCAGCACTTCCTCTAGCCTTGGAAAGCTCACACTGCTGTCCGCCCCCAGTCTCCTTCTTCAGAGTGCCAGCTGGGCAAAAAGACCCATTAATTTATTGGGTGTTTGTGTGTGTATTTTAAGAATGATATTTTTTAGCATTTAATTTTCAGTAGGAAAACACCTGCTGTATTCATTTGAAATCATGTATTTTTATTACGTGGTGATGCACGAATATATATTCATTATGAGAAAACTGAAATAT